CCCCCCCCCTCGCCTAAAGCACATGGACGTTAAAAATTAACTGTCATTAAAAAGAGGATAAAGACAAACACCCCACTGGACCCACTGGATATGTTCATAAACTTTTGTTTTATATTTTTATAATATTTCTCTTACCTCTCCGATGAATTCACTGGACCCTACTTTACTGTAGTCCCAGATAGTAATCTCAAGGGCGCGCCCTCCAAACTACAACACAAGCGAATACAAAAGTTAAGATGTTTTCTATTTCAGATGACAACAAAAGCAAAACTGTACCAGCAGTCCTGCCAGTAGGCACTGATATCTTAATATCCTAATATCATGTATATGATTTCTCTATGAGCTACCCTATAGGGACAAGTCTTTTGTTTTCTTTCCCAGGGAAAAAAAGAGCTGGGGTCACCTTTTGATTAATGTAAACTGGATCTAAAATAAAAGATAGATTTTTTTTGCTTACGTACTTTCTCCAGTGGACACCGAAAGTAAACGACTTAGCCCTACAGTAAGCACTGAATGATATCTCACCATCATGCACATAGTCTCTAGGTCGCTAATTCTAGTTTTCTTTCCCCAGTAGATACACAAACAAAAACGAGTTAGCCCTAGCAGTACACATCAGTTGCTAGGTTCAAGTAAGTGTGCGTTATTTTAGAGTTTTTACCTTTTGTATTCTACAAGGATAAACAAATGTTTGATTCCACTTTGGGTTGGCTGTCTTCATGGCCGTCTTGGTACGACGTTTACTTTGCATGCTACAAATACAAACAGCACAGTCAGTATCGGGATAGACTAGATCTTTAAGACGTACCGTGACCGTGAGGGCACCGTATCCTGAATTTTCATTGGCCTAACGATAATCTAGCGCGTTGTGATTGATTCAAAGGATGTCGCCCCGTTCCGTAACTGTGTCACGTGTCGTTATCCTGTGCTTCATATATTCTCCTCTGGGTTCTCCGGGTTTATTTATCGTCTGAGTGCAGCCCAACTTTCACTATTAACAAGGGTCAAATTAGTCGGGCTGCACGTAGGATACGATTTCCCTCTCCCAAAAACCAACACCAAAATTATAAATATTTCCAAGATGGCGTCTATTTGGTCCCCTAAAACAGTCCAGCAATGCACTGCGATGCCAACTCGATCCAATTTTTCCCTCAACCTAGGAATGGCTAGTTGAGAATTTGAGCCTTCTAAACCGACTGATCGGCTTGCTTTCTGCAATAATATATCGTACCTTCTGTCGGGCAAGAAGTAAATTCTAACATAAGGGTTAGGTGGTGTCGATGTTTCCTTTGACGTAAGTCCCTCAGCGGCAACAACTGTTACATTTAGATTACTGGCATCTTCATCGTAAGACAGCTTGACCTGACAATGAAAAAACCCATCAAAATCTAATGGATTTGCTTCTGCACTTAAGGCCTACAATTGCAAGGGTTATGGAAACTTTTCCCTGTCCAATACGCTTGCTTCAAGATTACTTCAGTGAAAATGAATACAATTGCGTTTTTGTCAAACCGCATACATTGAATTCTCTTGATCATAATAACTTTCTTTTTAAACAAGGTTCACCCAACAAGAAAACAACAACTTTAGCCCCTTTTCCGCTAACCTGAAGAGTAAAAAGATTTATCCTGGCATATTTAACATCGAGAATAACTCACTAACAATTGTTGTAAGCGTGCAAATGGTTTTAACGACAAATATTATTAACGTCTTCCACTATTTTAAAAGTTGTATAACAATAGTCACCTTGGCAACACATGTGCACGAGAATATTGAGCGTCCTGACGCACCCCCACAAGGATGCGTCATCACTTGTGAGACGTTACCACCACTTTAGGGACACACGTTAATCCGTACCCGCACGAACCTCGAATATTACGTCATAGCCGCCATGTTGGTTGACGAAAACAAAACATTCCTAACTAATCCTCATTAGCTTCTCTTGTTAGATCAACCAACATGGCGTCTGTTTCATTAGTATCCTCCTATTCTTGGGGTGCATGTGACGTCATAGCCGCCATGTTGGTTGACGATAACAAAACATCCCTCATTAGCTTCTCTTGTTAGATCAACAAACATGGCGGCTGTTTCATTGTTATTTGTATCTCGAGTGATTTTGAGTCACGTGGTTGCACTCCAATAATAAACCCAATTTCCTGCTTACCTGAATTCTACCGTTGAGTGTGCGACCTTTCTGTCCAGCGGCATCTACTGTTCTACTATCAGGCCCAGGACCTCCTCCGAAAAAGAAATCATCGTCTCCAACTGCAGGCAAAAACAGATTACGAGTCTCAATATTTAACCTATGCTCATTAGCCAGATTTATCAATATAAAATTGTTCTGAAAAATCACCGTCGAATCCCGCTAATAGCGGACATCATATACAATTATTCTTACATTATTCTCTTTACTTTCTCTTACCCATAATACTTTGCGGCTTTGGGGGTAACCAGAGGGTAAAAACCCACCTATTTTGTTGAAGGCTGATCAGACAATGTTAAAAATACCTTGTTTGATATCCAAATATAAAAAGAAGTAAAAAACAGAAAAAGCTAGGAGCTCGAAGACGTTTAAATTAAATTTGAAACATTTTTTCGTAAGTCAATACATTTTCTGTAACGCCAAACCTCTTGATGTTCTGAACGCGCAAATTAACTCGGAATAAACGAATAACCAGTGTTGTACACTTAAAAACAGGTATGCTATATATTATAATAAAATAATAATAAATAATGTTTTATTGAGCGCCAATTCCCAGCGGTTCAACAGCGCTTTACAAAATACAAAAAATATTCATTATAGATAAATAGAAAGTAAGATGATAATTAAAAGAATAWAATAAAACAGTTTAACAATACTAATTTAAAAATAATTTAACAATATTTCAATACCATATATTAATGTATCAATAATGTTATATAAACAACTTTCAGTGACTTTTAATTAAAATCAAAATCAAAATTAAGATTAATTGATCAATTGAAGAACGTTTCAATTTAAGGGCTATGGGAAAATAGAGAATAGTAAATAATGACAAAGAAATACCCATAATATAGATTGACTGAAAAGGGTTATTAATATTCAATTCAATAGATATTCAATGAACACACAGCCCAATATCGAAAAACAGTAATTAGGTTTTCGGTAATCTTCGAAAAAGATTAATTGCTTTTAGTAATGCATTTACCTTGGGAACCAAATCCCGGTTGGTCGTTAGCCAAGCGACCAGGACCTGTTGGGCCGTTTGTTCTATCTGCACCGAAAGTAGGGCGAGAATCTTGCTGCCCTGCCATAATACTAAGCGGAGATGTACGATCTCTTTTGACTGGAGAGCCTGCCGTACTAGTAGGTACACGTCGCGTCGGGGACTCTCTTCTACCAGGGTCACGTGACAACCGCGTATCTTTTCGCGGGAATTTATTCCTAGTACATAATCACAAGATTTTGTTAGGCTATGTTCAACTTTCCCTTTGATGTTTTTAGTATTATACAAAATAGCTATATTTATCCATTCTTTTGCTTGTTTAAACCCCTCTTCTAATTCTTTCGACATGTCTGTGATTTTTCTAACGCTTGTGAGACCCAAAGAGGAGTCATTTTAGTCCAGCTTTGGGAATTGTTATACTGCTTATTAAATTAACAAAAGGTGGCTGGAAAAGGTGTTAGGAAAAAGAAAAAAAAGGAAAATAAAAATAAAAATAAAAAGGAAAAAACACTTGAATAGTATTACGACAAAACACCAAGAGCACCGATTTTGGAACTCATCTTCGCGTGTGAGTACATTGAAAATCTCAGACATATCAGCTCGAGTAGAGTTTCTCAGGGCCTCTTTTATTTAAACTTAAATTCAATTCTCCGAACCAAAACTATAAATAAACTACATTTTACTAAAGATAATGTCGAAAAACGAAACTTAATTTCTTCTCGTGGGGCAATAATAATAAGTTTACGAGATTATAGCGTTTGGAACTGAGCAAAATAGAAAAAAATATCTCAGTGTCTTTGCTTTTAGAAATAAAGGATTTCACTGCTGAGATAAATCGTACAATGAAGGAGCTCTACTATCAAGAGATAGTCTTATAGTTTTAAGTGTTATTCTCTGCATGGTGAACGCTTTTGCACCCAAAGAGATTGTCTAATTGTCTAAAATTTACATTGGTGACGAGAGGCTTCTCAAAAACGACAACCAACTCCCGACAACCAAAATATTTTGAAGTAGTTCAAGCGTTGAAAACTAATTTTTCGACAGACTGAAAACCAAAGAAGGTAAAATAACACAAAAAGTAGAAGAGAATTGAAAATACTCACTTGTCTCGGCATAAAACGAGATGAAGTTCTGGAGAATCGTCAGTAGAATTGATGATTTCTTGAACTTCTTCGAAGGTACAATCAACAAGAGATTGATCATTCCATTCCATAACCTCGTCACCTGTTACGAAACGCAAAACAACAATCAAGAAAACGTAAATAACAGAAATAAGAGGAAAATATTGATATATCCAACCAAAATAAGTTATATAACGCAAAATGATGAAAAGCAAATGGCGAAAAAGTAGATGTTATTGTTTATGATGGTGGTGATGAATGCAACCCTGTTTTGTTTACCCCTTTTCCAATAGGTATCGAGAACGTTGTTCATAACTGAGAGTAAAGATTACCATAATTTTGATCATAAGCCGTAATCTTAAAATATGATGGCGAAATACCGAATATTTACATAAACGGGTTGCCAGTGTCACCGTAAGAAGCCTCGGTAAAGTCCTGGGCCGTGTTGTACGAAGCCTGGAGAGCACTATCCGACAGATAAATCTTATCCAGTGGATAAATTTATTGGATAAGAGCATCGACTTATCCAATGGATAAGGAGTTATCCACCGGATAGCGCTATCCAGGCTTCGTACAACCGGGCCCAGAACTTCAATACCAGTCAAATATTTTAATTCTAATGATATTTTTTTTGGAGGGGGGGGGGGGGGGAGATAAAATAAGAGTAAGAGCTATAAGTACCTTTTTGAAGTTTTGCTTGCATATCAGCCGGTCCTCCTCTCACGACATCAACAACAAAAGCTGCTAGTTTCCCTCCGTCCGACATTTTACCGCCTACCACTCGAAGACCAAAGGCAGAACTTGGCTCTGTGAAAGAGAAAAAAGTTTCATTTCTTCATAATTCAATAACTGATAAAATGGATTTACAGCAGCCAGGTCAATGGAAATGCTCTACTATTTGGCTGATTGCATGTCTCTTGTCATGAAAAGCATTGCATCGTTGGCCTGGTCAATCCTTTTGTTTTTTTTAAAAAAAGACAAGTCACTGAATCTACTAGATTTTTTGAAAATATTGCTTTTCAAAATGCGAAATAAAGAAGCTTTTGACCCCCTCCTTTCCCTCCCCCCACCTCCCTCCCCCTCAAATTAGAAATTAAAAACGCGGGAAAACTAAAAGCCCCAGGGAGGGGAGGGTTGGGTTATTCAACTAGTTTCCAGTATAGCTGCAGGAAGATTAAAGGGACTCTGAGGTGCCAGACACATCATAGCTTAAAATGTACATCAAACCTTGTTGATTTTGAAAATCGAAATGAAAATTCCATGAAATGCGTTTTTTGGGGTGATATCGTCCGTCAAAGTTGCGAAATGACTTAAGCTGGGCTCCCTGTGGAATATCGCGGATTTGATGGCTTGGGATGAATGAGGTGTGATGACGTCAGATAGTGGAACATGTTGGATAACTGGAGCTGAATCAACCAAATTTCGCTATGGAAGTATGGCTGTTCTTTATCAATTTGAGCCGGAAATTGCTTGAGGAGAAGAATATAATACACCCGATGAAAGTGTGAGCGAGGACAGTGAGCTAGAAGAAGTGGCGAACGAGGAAAGGCTTCTAGGAATCGATGTGGTGTACGTGTCAGCAACTTCATCTTCACTTCCATCTTCTTTAAAGCCAGTATCTTCCTCATACATTCCGGGAAGGTAGATCTTTAATATCTTAGATACCACACATGCTGATCTTTTTGCTAAGATAACCGTGCATTCACCATGTAATTATAAATTGGCGATATMAGAACTAGCACAACGCAGAGGGCTGAAAAAGCATTTCAGCGAAATGAATATGCATTGAACGTATACGTATATGATATAGAAAATACCGGAAAAAGCTCACTTATTTGGAATATAAGAACGTAATAGAAAATACTTAAAGAAACTCACTTATTTGTAATATTTGTTCAATTTGGAATGAGCCTTCTCTGTCATGAAGAGAAACTATTAAATGCAGTCCTAAGCACATCTCGGTTCAGACACAATAGTCGTGATGCATGTCATGTCTAATAATTACGTTGAGTTTAACATCAGAAAATATTGAAATCTTAAGTGAAATAAAATGTTTCATTTACCTCATAATCTTTTACCTAATAAGCTCATTTAACAACATAAAAACATATCAGCTAGCTGTTTTCATCACGACACATTGTTGATTTTAAGATCGATTCCTAGAAGCCTTTCCTCGTTCGCCACTTCTTCTAGCTCACTGTCCTCGCTCACACTTTCATCGGGTGTATTATATTCTTCTCCTCAAGCAATTTCCGGCTCAAATTGATAAAGAACAGCCATACTTCCATAGCGAAATTTGGTTGATTCAGCTCCAGTTATCCAACATGTTCCACTATCTGACGTCATCACACCTCATTCATCCCAAGCCATCAAATCCGCGATATTCCACAGGGAGCCCAGCTTAAGTCATTTCGCAACTTTGACGGACGATATCACCCCAAAAAACGCATTTCATGGAATTTTCATTTCGATTTTCAAAATCAACAAGGTTTGATGTACATTTTAAGCTATGATGTGTCTGGCACCTCAGAGTCCCTTTAAAGATGGCGCTCTTTGCTTCTCTCAAAATGTTTTCATTTTCTTACCTATAAATCGCTAATGATGTAAATATAAGTTTTCAGTTTATAAGATTATGGATTAAGAAAGAGTAGAAAGTATTTTTAGTGCAGAAAGAGCCTAAAGTGAGTCACATTTTAAGCTTTTGCTCGTCTTGGATGATCATGACGTGAGAACCGAAATTCAAAGCTTAAGATCACTGGTGAGGTAAGATACGTCTGTTCTATCTTGAAGTTAGTAACACTTGAATACGAAGTTTTGAAAACTCACACAAAGTAAATCTGAAAGTGAAATTTCTATCAGGAAAATACGACGAAATTCTCCATTTTCAGGCAAGGAATGCTAAATACTTTGAGTTCTGTAAGGGTTTCATTCCTATTCTTCAGCAGTCCTGTTCTTTTTGATTGAATTTTGATTAGCATCCTCTTCTAAAAAGTTTAAGCTTAATTTTTATTTTCATGAAACCTGAAAACTTGGTTGATCTAAGTCAGAGCATGGCTAACTCACAGATCAAACCCTGATCTACGTCAGTGCACACCCGTACCCGCCTAGAATTGAATGTCCTTGTTTGTATCACTGAAGAATTCCATTAAACTATTCTAACAAGTGATGGCGAGACCAGAAATCAAACCTGAGACCCCAGGGGCGAGTGCACTACCACTACAACACCCTTGATTGCCATTTGCATACCATTTTCATATAGTTCTAAAGGGTTAAGGGATAGAGGTGCTGGATGCTAGTCTAGGATCCCTTAGGAAGGGTTATAATGTCACCACTTCTCCACCTCTAAATCTGTCTGCTCAAAAATAGCTAGGATGCAAACTAACATGAAAACACACAAGAAATGAAGCTTTTTCTTGATGGAATTTATGGCATATCTTTTGTATTTCCATATTAGCCTTGCATTCAAGACAATTTCAAGAAGAGTCCATTGTTTTGACTTCAAATTCCTTATACCCTGTATATTTTACAGATAATCTTTTGAGTGTAATAGAGGCCACATACCTGACATGGATGATGGTGGTGTCCTTGGGTCCCTGGTAAGCAGCACTTCACCAATACATTTATTATCATCATCTGGTGGAGACCATTTGATAGCACTTTCACTCTGTAGGAACAAAAAATCCATATTGAGTCTAGTTTAGTTGCCATAATATTAATATAATTGATGGTTTATTATTATTATTATTTTTTTTCTTTCTTTCTTAATTTACTGCATCAAAATTGGCTAAAACAACGGCTGCTCAATGGCTGGGCATGATGACTAGGCTGATCAACTGATCAAAATGTGACCAGTAAAAAGGAATGACCTTTTGCCCAGACATTGTCCATTGAGCAGTATATATTTTGGCCCCTAAAATGTATACATTTATGTAAAATATACATTCATCAGTTTTTACAAGTTTTCCTTACCAGACATTTGACCTCTAGTCCCCCTTACCTTACTTACAGCTGTGAATTTAAACTATTTAATGCTTCAAACTACTGTTAAAAGGCAAAGGCATTTCTCTTACACTGATCCTAAGTAATGTCAGAGCTAGCTTCACTCAGGTATTTTTAAATTATACAGAAGAATAATTTCTACAGCATGATAAAACCAGTAAAACTCTGAAATTTTAAGGAAAGATTAGTTCAAAACATGATCTTTAATCAGTGTGAATTTTCTAATCTTTTCTAAAGGCAACACTGAGATGCCTCCAATGAATGTTTTCATACAAAATGTTTATTTTTCAGTATTCATATCTTCTTCACAGTTTTACTAAATTTAACGAGCTCTTTACAGCTCTAATAAATATTTATAAATTATTATTATTATTCTGTCTTGTCAGTTTTGGGATTACATTATAGACCTTATAGAAGCTCAATGGAATCTCAATTATACTTAATACCAAATATTTAAACTTCAAGACAGTATTAAAAAAAAGATTTCATCTACATTAAAGACTGATAAAATCAATGTGATGTGGCTACAGTATTGATCAAATTATGAGCATAATCTATGACATCACAGATCTTATCGACAACTAGTAAATATACATCAAACAAATTCACGTGAAATATATCAATCTGCAGTAAACTATGAATTGAAATATAAACAATGAAAGAAAAATGCTTTAAAAGCAGGTATTTAGCTTATCATTCCTAAAAGTGGGAAAAAGTGATAATTTTTTCATAAAATTTTGATGTCGTACAATCTTAAGTAGAGTATAAACTAGAAATAAAACACATAAAATAGTCTAAAAAAATTCATTGTTTGGGATTTGGCATCCTGTTACTTTCTGTTACATTAGTTACTTTAAGTTTTAGCTACTAAATGGTCCAATGTTCTTGGAGCTTTCTTGCTTAAATTTATATTTTTTTGCAAGTGTTGTAATCGGTTATAAAATGGTTTTCCATGATTTGGCTGTCTGCATCGATCCATCGAAGAGGATTGATATTTGCATGACATTCCCACACTTTCAAGTAATTCCACAATCTACTTACAATTGGTTCAAAACTGGATTTATACCCATAGTATTTGTGGTGATATGAAGACATAAGTCTTAGAAGAACACTTTGTAGCTCCCAAAATATAAGGCTTAAAATTGATATCCAATTCCCTTAATGAATTTTGCATGATTTTAGGCTGCTGATGTTCTTGGTCTTCCTATGTGGAGGACTGTGGTGTTCTGCTTTGGTTACACATGCAAATGAGATCTAGTTTTCGTTAGACATTTAATTATTTCAATTTACAGCATGAATTCAGGGTATAACTGTGCCTTCCCCAGACTCTAATTGGCTTAAAATCCTCCGAATAACTCCCACAGCAAAGAACTAATAAGATTCAATAAATATGTAACTGAGATATATATGACGCTGTTACATGATCTTCGTAGATAAATTTATTTACAAAGAGAAATATATGATTTTCCAAGTTTATAGGCTTAAGATTTTCATATAGTTTTGTAAATGTTTTTTATAGGCTTTTCCTATTTTTACATCTAATAAATGGCCTAACTAAACTAAGTGTATCAACTAGGCGTTGTGTGCTGGTATATTTATCATTATAAAGAAGTATTATGGTAGGTGTTGAAAATAATGTTTTTTCTAATTGGTATTTGTCTAGATCATTCTAAAATTAAAGAGAATTTTGAAGTTGATAATTTTTGCACTGACGACATAATTATGTGATACATCAAGTGTGACAAACGTGAAAAATTTGTGCATGCATTATATTAAAGGAAAAAGAAAGTTATATATAGAATGATGCATTCAAAGCGAAAATATAATACAACAGCTAGGATAATGGGAAATGATTTTTGTAGTGGTTTATAAACCAGCTGCGAAAACATTGAAAAAATAAGTGCTTGAGTTATTGAAATGATCATAAAGTGTTATGCAAAAGGCAAAAAAATTGCTGAACAACAAATCCAAAACCTCAAGGGGAAACAAAGTTTGGTGATAATGTATGATTGAAGTATGCAATTTAGCAAACCTTGGAGCGTAAGCCAGGTCTAGGTCCACCAGGCTTCCTAGTTTGTGAATATGGAGGTGTTCTTGTGTTTGAAGATTTGAAACTAGGTGTGGAAGTGGTCGTAGTAGGAGTTGTAGAAGTGGTTTCGGTTGTAGTTTTCTTGAGTGAAAAAGCACTGACAAAGAGATCTCCAATGCTACTCTTTTCCTGGTTTGGATTTTCATCTTTAAAGAATAAATTGCTCTGAATGAAATAAGAAAAATTCCATGACGAAATTCAACCTAATCCTCTTCAAAAATGAAACAAAAATCTTTCACCAAGAAAATAAAGCATCTTTTAAGACTACCTTACCAAAAATGTTCCTGGAGAAGTTTTAAAATCAGCCATATTAAGAAACTTGTTATGTTGATCAGTAAAGAGTTCAGTAGTATCTTAGAAAATTCATATATTATTGAAGGCCTTGAGAATGCAGAGCTAATTAAACTAAATCCTTTTGTTAAATATGTACAATGATTCCATGTCCTGGGAGTTATAAATAATAAATGTTGTTTCAAATGCAAAATGTGATTCAATTCAACATCTTGTTTTTTTTATATCTTTTTGGGGAATCTGAAAGATTACTTGCTTCCAATCCTTAGTTAATAATAAAAGACTTTGTATCATGGTTGAAAATGTTCAAATTCCAAGAAAGATCACTTACAATTAAAATGTTTTTGCTCATAATCTTTAGTCCTGCCATTTATGGCTTTTTTTTTTTTTTTTTTTTTTTTTTTAATTTTTTTTTTTTTTTTTTTTTTTTTTTTTTTGGTGCATAACTTTTGTTTTCTTGCTTTAAGGAAAACTCAGTTGAATTGCACTTCTACAACTTGTCATGAGCATTTAAAACAATTGAGAACTCTTAAAAATCCAGCATATTTAGCCTCACTTCTGAGGTCGGTAAACAAAGGCAGAAATTAGAATAATAAAAAAATATTTCATTTAACCGGATTTGAGGCTGAGCCGCATACACTGGAGTTTTAAGAGTTGTCAATATCTAGGCCAAAAAATAAATCTCAAGGTGATGATGCTGTATAATTCCAAGAAAAACGTAGCTCAATCTATAATACATTTATTGAGTCAGACATACATATTATGCACTATCATACTTGCAAATATTCAAGTTTTTATGTTAAAATCTACATTTTGTGATAAGATTCCTTTTAAGCAATCAATTTATATCTATGGTTGTTATAGGAAATGTCTATTAAATTAAACAATTGAATAGCTGAAATTTGTTAAGAAATTATAATTAACAGGATCAACATTAATATGAACGAAATCTTATCCACTGAGTAAAAATTCTTTAGTACATAACAACTTGAAATGGTTTCACTAAAACAGCTAGCCTCTGGGCTGATTAAAGTCAAGGTAAATCATAGATTGAATTGGAATTTAGCTTTGTTGGTTTTGAAGAAGGAATTTTTTTGGAGAGCCTGGAGAAAAACCAATAAATCAAGGAAGAGACCTAACAAACTCTACTCACATGTGATGCTGAAGTCTAGCAATCAAACCTGAGAATCCAGAGGTGAGATGCATGTGTATCACCACTACACCACCCTTTATTCCCCTGATATACAGTCTAGGACAGTGAGCCAAAGGAGGTATTAAATCCCTCTTTTACAAAATTGAGGAAAGCAAACACCATCTCATTTGACTGAAAAAATCTCGCTAGCTAATGTATGTGTAAGTCAGGGCATAGCTATGTCACAGATTTAGGACGTTGGGTTTTGCAGAGGAAAAAAACCTGGAAAACCTAGTGAAAAACCCTTGAAATTATCACATTATAATATGCATAACACTGACATAACATTTACCATTTACTATAGGAATTAAGTGTCAGTAATTATTCTACAGCGTACTGAAATGAAATGAATGTTAACTATCTAATTTATACATGTAAGTACTGTCACTATGCTTTGGAAATCACAGTTAACACGAAGCTTGGTTAGAAGACTTTTATCTCAACTTTTGTTCAACTCAAAGTTTATAAATTATTATATATTTGTTGATTTTGAAAATGAAAACTTACAATGCAAAAAATAAATTGTTCAAAGGTTTCAAAAGGTTTCAAAAATTGTTCCAACCTCATTTCAAAATCGGTATATCCATATGACCAATTAATAGGTTTATACTAAATTAATTAGATCTCTTGCCGTCTACAAGCCAATAGCCCATTTGACCTTTGGCCTCATGGGCTATTGATTTGTAGACCATTTGAGCTGCAGGTATGATTATTGTTAATTAATCCGTCACAGCATTTGTCTGGACCAGTGCCTAGCAATAGACCTCCCCGGCTCTGGAGCGCTGGAGCGTAGTGTTGTCCCATTTCAGACCACGTGTCATTCCCTTAAGAATAATATTCTTTGTTTGAGTTGTATCCATATTCATGTGTCTTCTCATGTGCAACTGAGCGCAAACCTTAAACAAAGAAATGATACTCTAGGGAATGACGTGGTCTGAAATGGGAAAACATTACGTCAGAGCCGATAAGGTCTATTAAGACTAGTTGTATTGAGGTTAAGAAAAGGAAAATTTGAAAAGGATTCTGATAGTTGTAGTATCCAGTAAAGGTGAAATGAGAATACAAGAACTACATTTTCTTTGACACTTACTGCATTTGAGATGTCTTGTGTAGGTGTTGCTGTTCTCTCATTCATCATAGGTTCACCGGCCATTCCATCACTATTCCGTCCCAACTGTCTACTATCATAACGATCCTCCATAACTCCATGTCCACCTATATTATTAATTCTATTCTGTGGGGAGTCTCGTCCATGCCCTATCATGTGCGTGGGACTTCCATATGGTGGACGACCTTTAACATGGTCTTGACTAGGAGGTGGAGGTCCATATCCTCTTGAATCTTGTTGTTGATGCGCCACACCTTGGCCATCAAGACCTCTTGGGGAATATCCCTGCTGACTGTCCGGTCTATATCCAGTTCTTCCATCATCAAAATGCCGAGGATCCCTAGCTCCTCTCTTTTCCGGGTGCTGAGGGCTTGTCCCTGGCCTGCCATTCTGAGTTGGTACAATCCTTGTATCTGGATGATGACCTTGACCTTGACTACCATCTATTTGTCCAGGGTAAGGAACTTGTTTGGGTTCACTACCTGGATGACCCTGAATATTACCAATCTGGGGTGGTGGTCCTACCATTCCAGTTCGGCGCTCAGCCCCTTGATTCATCTTCTGTTGGTCAGACCCTTGACCAGGGTATTGAAGTTTTCTCCGTGCTGTCTCTGGTGTACCCATTTTTTGTGGCCCATGGGGTTGTCTGCCTTGCAGTTGTTGCTGTCCACCCATTTGCTGGGGTCTTCCTTGTTGAGGACCACCCATCTGTCTTTGTCCACCCATTTGCTGAGGGCTACCCATTTGCTGGGGTCCACCCATTTGCTGAGGGCCACTCATTTGCTGGGGACCACCCAATTGCTGAGGGCCACCCATTTGCTGAGGGCTACCCATTTGCTGGGGTCCACCCATTTTTTGGGGACCACCCAATTGCTGAGGGCTACCCATTTGCTGGGGTCCACCCATTTTTTGAGGCCCACCCATTTGTTGAGACCCAGCCATCTGCATTCTTTGGTCAAGAGGTCCTTGTTGAGGATATCCTTGTCTTGGAGATTGTTGGCTTCCTGGTCTTGCCATCTGTGGTGTTCCTGGAGTCATTCCCCCTCTACCTGCAGGTTGTGACCCAGGAGCCATCCCTCTACCTCTATCCATGGGCTTTTGCTGTGGTTGCATCCCATGCTGCTGTTGTGGAGGACCTCCTCTACCTTGGCCAGGAGCACCTCTACCTTGAGGGCCACCCTGGCCTGGAGGGAAGCCTTGGCGTATTCCTTGCTGAGTACCTGGAGCCATTGGGCGTGGCCCCTGCTGAGGGCCATAACCTCTACCCCCTTGAGGTTGCCCTTGCTGTTGATGAGGGCGCATTCCTTGTTGAGAACCTGGAGCCATTGGGCGTGGCCCCTGCTGAGGGCCATAACCCCTACCCCCTGGAGGTTGCCCTTGTTGCGGATGGTACCCTCTGGCACCTGGACCCTGCTGTGGAGGAAACCCTTGGCGGGATCCAGGTTGTCCACCTTGGGCAGGGCCTCCTCTTCCTGGCGTTTGTCCAGGAGGTCCCATACCTGGTTTACCTCCTTTATCAGGGAAATAGGGGCCCTTGCTGCCACGCCCTTGAGGGTGCATTGGATTTGGTTGCATTCCTCCTGGATGTCTTTTCATTTTTTCATCATGAAATGTTACTTTTCTTCTACCTCTCTGATCACCATACCTTGATGCTTCGTCATCACTATAGTATTGTCCGTATGGGGCATTTTGAATTGATTCAACTTCTTCATCCGATAATGACGGCCGCCGTAAATAATTCTGACGTTCACTTTCTATTCTTCTCGCTCTGTCAGTTTCATTTTCCATACCCCTTCTAAAATTCCCTCTGGCTGAGCCCTGTCGTCGCATGGCTCTTTTATCCTCCTCTGAAGGTATTGCTTTAAAGTCACTACCAAATTGAGAAGCAGGGTCGTCTATTGCTTTCATATTAGGGTCTTTAGGTCCAAACCATGACCCTGTCTTTGTTAATACTTCTTGTTTCTTTTTACACACAAGACATAACCAGTGAACCTTTAAAAGAAATAAAAAATGATCAGTAAAGATTATATATAATTCACCTTTTCGGCGCTAGCTTGGATTGTGTTACAGTCACCAAAAAGGTCAGACATCGTTCTCGGATTTCCATACAAATTCACTTACTTTAAAAAGAAAATTTAGGTAGATTTCTTTAGTTAGCTATTTTAACAGCTGTAAGAAAAGCTTCATTCAAGCTAGAAAAATGATCATTTACTTATATTTAGAGAACTAACTAAACATTAACCAAGTAAATAGTTCATTTACAGTCAGTACATTTGTACGGCAATTCAAGAACAATGTCCAAAATGTTTGGTGACCATAACACAATCTAAAACAATTTAACAAGGTGCATTGTGGTCTAGGTTAGGTACCAAGGACACCATATGAGGCATGATCACCAAGACATGTTGGTACCCAAGCCAGACCACAATGCACCCATTTTTGTAAAGAAAAGGCTATCTGTATTGTCACACTCATCGTCATAACAAACCTGTACCTTGTCATAACTGTGTAAAGTATAAGCATGAAATAACCCACCCATGCTATAAGGTGCAAATTTGTATTCAACATAATAGGTATTATATCAAACACATGAAGAAAGAGTGTTTCATCCAATTTCCAAACATTTTGAAGTGAGTTGAAAAATCAGAGATGAAAAGGCAAAGCTGAGTTTCTTAAGCCATTTTTGAGGTGTTTGGATATAGGTCAAAACAGTCTCTTACAATTTCTTGATATTGGCTTCTCAATCTATCAATAATTCTTAGAGAAATTCAATAAGCATAAGTTGGCCAAAATTTATAGTAATTAAGATAACATTTTCAAGCGTACTTTACGCTAGTGATTCTTTGTTTTGTCCTCATGTATTATTAATGAATTTGAGAATAGAATATGATAAGTGTCATTTATCCAGGGTGATGACTGCATGACTAGGTACACATTTTTAAAACCTCAGCATTGTTGACTGAAATGACCAAGTAGCAGAGACAATAGACCCTTTGCCAAAATGGTGGCCGAAAATTGAAATGAATTAAATTAAAAAACCAATAGCAGCACTAGAAAAGACCACCTTTACTTTAGTAACCCTACAAAGATTCATTATGAAGAAAACTTTAGTTGAAAATTATGACAAATTTACAGATGTTTGTGTGTCAGGGGTATAGCATATACCGTAAATTTTCAACTGGAGTTTCCTCGGCCGATATAACGCCTGACATAAGGGTTACTAAAGTAAAGGTGCTCTTTCCAGTGCTGGTATTGGTTACTCAAACGAATTTGCGGCCACCATTTTGGCAAGGGGTCTATTGTGTCCTTTACAGTCAAGAAATCATTGTCTCTTGAATTATATGTTCTTACCACAAGAATTACACCTTTTATCATACAAAATCTCTTCAAGCAGACAAATTTTTAATTATTGTTAATGTTTTAGTTTTTAAGTCTAAATATTTTTTTTCAAAGCAAACAGTTTTTAATCGACTGTATATTATATGTATGCAGTGGATCTCACACATATGTAACATTTATTTAAATTTATTTGTAGCATTATCAATTGATATTAATATTCAGTTAGTAGTAGTAGCAGTAGCAGCAGCAGCAGCAGCAGTAGTAGCAGTAGTAGCAGCAGCAGCAACAGCAGCAGTAGTAGCAGCAGCAGCAGTAGTAGCAGCAGCAGC